CCCACAGTCTGGCACAGAGCCCAGAGCCCACAGTCTAGCAAGTGCGAACTTTTGGCGCTTTTGCTTTCGGGCCCAGAAAAGTAAGGATTTGGAGAGCTCAGGTTCCACACCTTCGGTGGTCCCAGGCGCCGCCCCTGCCTTCGCCAGAGCAGGGGTCGGCGGATATATATAATCATACATACATATTCTCAACATACATAGTAGTAATATCATATAAAAGTACTACTAAGGCCCTAAAACATACATTTCTGTCGTTTCTGTGTTTGCACTGGCCGAGACCGCAGCGATGCTCGATCCAGGCATCGGCGCATTCATCGCGGTGTACTTCCTCCAGCGCGTTTTCGGATCGCGCACGCCGGTGTCTTCGTCTCATGAGGTTTCAAGGATCTTTGGATCTGTGGATTCACTGCAAGGTGTAGGCAACTGCTGGATTCCAAGTCATTTCTATTACTGTAATTAAACACCTGGTTGACAAGCAGTTACGGGTGGGCACATCAAACATAGTCGAAGAGCCACCTGTATTGATAGGGTTTGAAGTAGCAAGTCCACAGTCAAGCCCATTTGTCTGCATACGAAACGTTACAACCCCCTGCCCTCGGCCATGAAGCTAGCAACAAGGACGCTACCAGGGGGAGGCCATCGCTATTGGGGTGGAGGCCATTGCTACTAGTAACAAGGACGTCAATAACGTCCTAGTAGAGATGGCCTCCCCTTAGGGACTTGAAACATTTCTGTGACTCGGTCATGAAGCTAACAGCCTCGAGTCATTGAAGTCCAACCCATTCTTGGACTCCCAAAGACCTCAAAATGGTACTCGTGAATGCCATCCAACTCTAGGGAGACGAGCGACAAATGCATTTATGTATATAAACACAGACACACAGCACACATGACATATATTATATATACGTTTACATACACTATCATAACTATATTTTTGCATATCCAAGCCTGCCTTCCAGGAAGGAGGAGATTCAAGCAATTGCAAGATGTTGCACATTTCAGAGGTCGCAGCTTTGGTTTTCGCCCGCTTGAATGAACGTCGAAGACTGGAAGAAGCATGAAACAGTGATCCTGCAGATCAGCACCTCTCCCAGGTTGGTGGTATGCTCATTGTATTTTTCTCTATGCTTGGCTTAGAGGCGGTGAACCCCAGGCCGGGTCCAGGGACGGATGCTCATGCACAGCTGAGACTTGGCAGAAAGCATACGAAGATCATTTGATTGGCCGGTCCTTTCATCAAAGAACGCCTGGGTGTGTGTGATGTTATTTATTTTTGACAAAGCTTGATTGCGCCCCTGAACGCAAACAAGGTGGGCCATAACGACTGTGTCGGAGCAATCTCGTTTGCCGACACATGTTGTTCATAGGCTTCGCATGAGTGAGCCCAGACAAGCTCTACCTTGCATCTCAGCCACTCACCCCAAACCTGAAGACACTTCAGACTGGTTCAGAAAGCAAGAAACACCAGCACGTGGACCAACGAAGACAAAACTCATGTGATTACATACAATTACATTGTTCAGATTCAAACATTTTGTTCATTGATCGCCTTAGTTTGAGACCCAAGATCGCCTTTTTCAACCGACCCATCTCCTTTCCGAAAGCTCCCGGGCATCGCATCCCGCAGCTTGGCCCAGCGAGTCTTCAAGCTCTTGGAACCCGGTTATCGCTTCCTTGTGAAGTGGCCGCGAGCCTTAGTCACACTCCTGAGTCACGCTTTTGGAGACAGGAGCTGAGAGACGAAGAGAGGAGCTGAGACACCTGGGAGTTATCGTTTTGGATGGTTTATGATTGAGCGAAGATGCTAAGATGGTGTATGTAGCTGGAACTGCAATGATTTTTACATCATTATTTGGCCAGTAACAAGTCCTGAGGCGGAACATGCTTGGACAGTTACCTTTTGTCTTTTCCAGTAAGACGACCCTGACTAATCTAGAGACTGCTGGAATGACGTTTAGGAGTCCATTAGTAGGTCCTGTCGAGGCTCTCCAATTCTTTGATACTTTTGGTTGAGCTGGATCGAATGCAGGTTGTTGGGACATTTGTTTACCAGTTTTTCTCACTAGTTTGGACGACTTTCCCACTGCAGTTTGTCTAGGGTAGGTACATATACCTGATGAATATATTTTTTGCAGCTGTGCAGCTGTGCATCAACAAAGTTACTAGATCAGCATACAGCGGAGGCGGATACATGCTTAATTTTTTTTGCGTCTCAAGCCCAGGCTGATCGTGTTCTTTGTACCTGCTTTGGCACGGCCCTCAGAACAGGTATGGCAGGATGCCTCCGAACCGAACGCTTACATCAAGGGCAACCGGCAACTCTATGGATGTGTTCTTGTACTGGTGGTGGTGCTGCTGCTCATGCTGCTGTTGTTGCTGCTTTGCGCACTATTTCTTGTCAATTGGTTGTAGATTCTTTCTGCATGCACTCCTGAACACACGTTTAGTATGAGCTTGAGTGTTGATCTGTACGCATGCATACGCATGTCATTGACAAATGGCAACAGGATATACCTAAAGAAATCGGTCGGCAAGTGCTGCCCACAGCATTATATACCTCAAACATCCTCAAACGAAGAACATAGAAAGAACAAGATCCACACAGGTTTCACCAAAAGTTTGATTCTGAGCCTGGATAGGCCAGGTCCATCCAGGTCCACCTGTTTGTTGGAAGGCACCGAACGCTTCCAAGGTTCGAGTGTCCCTCATCCATGCAGAGCTGGGAGTTGGTGGTTTAATTCGTGCCATGGCATGAGATGTTCCGCGGTGTCTGTGTCACCAGCAGCTGGGTTGCACCAGCTCATATTGACTCGACTCATTAAACACACACACACACACATATATATATATATTATATATACAGGCAGGTCTCGACTTTGGACATGATCCGGATGTAATGAATCACATCTCCTTGACACTGTGCCATGGCAGGGTCGAGACGATCTCAAAGTAGCTGGGATTGATGCAAGTGGAGGAGCACTGGCACATGTTTGCTAACTCTCACACACTTTCAGGGTGACTTGGGCTGCTCATTCGAAGAACTCCTATTTCAGCTAGTTTTGAAACAGAACAAACCAAGAGTCCAAGTCTAAGGTGGCAGTTGCTGCGTGTTGTTTGCAGGATTGTGCAGATAATTTCATGTGGAGTTTCCATGGTTTGATCTTGAGGCGATCAGGTGGTGTTCTTGAGTTGATCACGAGTGATCTTTCGGTCTGATCTTGAGGTGTTCTGCTCTTGCTGCTCGTTGGCTCCATGGCACCAAGTTCAGGGGGACTTGAAGCCGTGTGCACAAAGGGACTAGGCTACCAATATTGCAAATGTCAAATGGCTGTGCACTTGGACAAGCTTGAAATGCACCGAACGGATGCTTGCAGAAGCCATCCATACAGGCTTCCATATGTAAGCAGCTTGGGGCTTCATGAGCTTTCATGAGGTTTCAGAGGCTACTGAAGGGTCGACCGTCTCCGGATCTCAAAGGGAATCTTTGGATTCATGGAGCGGTGACCAGGTACTGGGTGCTGTCAGGTCGTACAGTAGTAGCTTCTTGTTACTAGTAGCTATTTGCTACTAGTATATAGTATATAGTAATGCCCTTGTTACTAGTAGCGATGCGCTTTGCTACTAGTAGCTTCTTGTTCTGTTACTAGTACAGTAGCACATGTCTTTTTTGTTGTTGGTGCGTTATTTTTTCCTGGCTCAGCCACAGGACAAGCACCTAAGTGAGGTTGAAAGAGGGTGCCACGCCCAAGGTTGACGATCACAGCTGGACCCATGTCTCAGAGAAATGTGCTTCCAAAAACAAACGAACGCATTCAAGATCATCTACCTTCTTCTTTGCAGACTTTTGCAGATGTTGGATTATGGTGGACTTTGAGTGTGGTGCTCAACTGGAACACCCTAACTCTTTCTCACTAGCCATTGGGTTACATAGACAGCATAGAGAGACTTTGTAGGACTAAAAACGCTTTGTCCACAGGTAATTACATCATACATTGGAATTGAATGTGCTAGTCATGACTAGTGCGGGTCTACTTTGCTGCTTACTCCAGAAATCCTTTGTGCTTCATCGGTTGAAGAATCCGAGGATGACACTTCGCTACCTGCCACTACACACACACACTCGGGATCTGCACCTCTTTGGGGTACATTGGCTGTTGAGGGATCCTTTGTAGCAACAGACCCAGGCCAAATTTCCACTACAGAGTGTATGGATACTTGCTTGGATTCTCCATCTACTCACCTTTTTCGCAACCCTCGAAGCCCGGCAAAGGTTGGTTCATCACCTTTGGCGGTACAGCAGCAGTTGCGAGCCTGCGGCTCAAAGCACGTGGCCCTTCGAGGCAGTTGGCATCTCCAGCTCAAATCCATCATGAGGCTGGCATATTAGGCTTGATGACAATCCATGAACAACCAATATATCCATTGAACGCATCGAGGAGGATTTCTGAAGGTTCATGTGCCGACTGCCTGCGACTGCCAAGGATCCGCGTATACCTGAAAGTCGTGTTTGGGAGCCATCGGAGCCACGGCCACAGCGCTGCGGCTGAGGCGCCTTCCCAGAGGTGGACCTAGAGGTCAACACCCCGACCCCAGCTACGACAGAGCCGGGCACCAAGAGGAGCAGAGAAGGAGCGGCCGATCGCCTGCTTCGCAAGTGCAACGGAAGGGCCGGTCCTGGGAAAGACACGGAAAAGACATAGGAGAAGTGGACGAACACCCCCTGATTGGTGTCCGTCCTCAGTTGGAGACTATGATTCATCAATTGGACGAGGTTCATTGTTTAGTCATCTCAATAGGGAACTCCCAAGCCTGGGTATACCGGGTAGACTCCCGGGTAGACTTGCATTTTTGCACTCCTGCGGCTAAACCGCTGAGCGGCACTCCCAGGCCAAAGAAGGAGCCGGAGAAGCCACCTCCAGCACCCGTCCGCTTTCCCTACATTCGCTTTGTGGTGGCTGCCTTGGCTGGCCATCATACGGCTGGGCCAAACGGGGGCTGGGGTTGGTGGGTGCTTTTCAAACTGCAGTTTGATCATTCTTCGGCCATTTGTCAGATAAACCAATGTGGCTCGTCTTGTATCCAGAGTCCTAATTCCTAATTTTTCTTTGCGGAACAGGGTAGCTGTCTCTCAACCTACCGGGTAGTGCCGCGGCCAAGTAGTCACGATCTTGCCGCACTTTCTCTTGCGGAAAGCAGGGACATCGGATTTGGCAAAGTCCGTTGAACTCTCCAAGAAGAAGGAGCAGGAGACATGCATTCAGATTGCTCAGCCAAGGCCCATTCGTTTGCACATCACTGTCACGTGTCCCCACCTACTCCCACCTAATGAAGAGACCACCTCACCACCTTCGGCTGCTTCGGAACGCCCGGATAGCGAGGTCGGCATGGCAGTGGCATTGGTGGCGGCCAGCTTTGGCTTTAAGCCTGGACTGGATCAGACGATCTTCATGGCCGGAGACACGTCTTGACATGCAATCGTGCCAGTCATTGTCCGGTGAAATCTTTTTCCCGGACGTGCATGGCTTTTCATGCTCGAGGAGGCTTATGACCAGGTTCCACACAGGAGACCACCTTTTTTCAGGAGAGAGGGTACCGAGGAGTTGAAAATGATACAAAGATACTGGATTCAGTGTGATACCAATGGACAATAGGGATTCTTTTGAAATTCAGCTACTCCAACAATTCATTCATCCACATGATTGGTATATAAGCAACCGTGATAGAGCGGAAGCCTTGTATCGGGAGGGACTCGAGACATTCAAGCTTCCCGAAGATCCCTGTCATGTTGAAGACGAGCAAGGCGAACGGTGCAAGATCATTGCTGTATGTAGTTGATCTACGCGATCCCAAGCCACAAGCTTGAGTGACAATACCCACCTTTACCTCCCCGCAATTCTTCCCTTGCCAGACCTGTGCTGCCTTGGCTGGCTTTACTTTGGCGAAGCGCTTGCCGGGCAACGTGCAGAAGTTCATCCATCCGAAGCTTTGACAAAAGCTCTAATTAATTGCTTTGGGAGCGGCTGCCTTTGAAGCTAAACGAATGTGAATTGAAGGGACATAGAAACAGGGACAAAGTGCAGGCACGATGGCTGAATCAGTAAATTAGTTTGTCACATATATAGATTCTTACTGCTGTAAGTCATGACTGACCACACTGTGACGATCTATCCACTGCGTGTCAATGTTGTGGGAGAAGGAGACCGAGGCATGCATCGATCCAGACATGAAAGCTCTATGCTGGTATTGCCCTTTTTCAATGATGTTGAGTTTGATGAGTTGTGATGAGACGCGTATCGACTTTGAATTTGAGGAGGACCATTTGTACGTTCCGACATCTGGCTTGTGACCATTGCCCACATGCCCAGATTGGCTTGCGACACCACGGATTGATGGTATCCGGTGTCTTTTTTGCGAGGAATGCTTCTCCTCAGTGAGATTTGTACGGACTGGACATACGGAAATGTTTCACCGACCTTGAGGGTCAACAACTACCCCTAAATCGGCGGGAGTTACAGCTGTCACTACATCAAGTACTAAGGCTGGAAGAAAGATAGCCCTGTGCACGTGTTTTTTTACCGCTGGAGGCCAAAAAGAACGATTGCAGCTTTTTGTACTCGCGTTTTGAGGCTTTTCATTTGCGCAGCCGCCACTTTTGCAGCTGCTGGCCTGTGGATCTTTCTGGAACACCCAGGACAGGTAATTCCAAGCGGAATCAGGTGAACCCAGGTGGATTGGTCGGTATCTCAACAGAGGCACTGGCACTTCTCACTCTTTACTGTAGGTGTTGTACCGCTACCCGCTACGATCAAAGTATATATCACTAGTGCAAGGCCTGCAAGGTGTCAAACATCCAATCACTAAGATATGATATGGTTTGCTTAGAACACATTTCAATCTAGCGGAGTGTGGGAATTTGTTTCAGGCTTGGCAACTGCAGAAGTGACAGTTTTGGCTGTGGATTGCATAAGACCAGCCAAATAGGATCACACGTGTGTTCTACTTACCCACTCACCGCGGGCAAATTGAGTAAACGAGTGCTCGATTTCGAGGGAGGCAAACGCTTCAGCGCGTTTTATGGCGTTTTCCAGGATTGCATACTATGGACGTGTCCGGAACTTAGTCGACTTGCGAAACGTGCGCAAACTTCACCCGGGATCCGTGGGTGTTTCGGCGCCCAGGATGAAGGTCCTGGTCGGTCCGAGGGCGAAGGGAAAAGAAAGTGATCAGCATTTGTCGTGCAGTCCGTAGCTTTTGTTCCGGTTGGTAAGGTGTGAGTCAGGTGAGGGCCCAAAGGTTGGTCTTAAGAGAACCCACGGGGAGTAGATATTCCCATATATTTCATATAGCTTGACATGATTTGATATTGGGACAAATGACTCGAAGCCTTGAATTCATATTGATTCATTGGTTTATCACCACCATCTCACCATGAGGATTCGGATCTATAGCGATTGGCCGGGCGGTGGTGCCTTGCTCTACTTTCTCCTGCCTATCGCTGTTGTGCTGCTTGGCCGATGTGGCTCATTGGCTGATGTGGCTCACCCCCTCTTCAAAGCACGGTATTGGAACCAACATGGTTGGGATTCAAGCAGCTTGCAACTCCTTGAGCCCTGGTGCCATTGAGCTCCTTGAACCTGGTGACCAAGCAGTTCGAAAGGGATGCTTTCCCTCTGACCTTGGTGCCGGACGGGGCCAGCAGAACAAACCTTTGGAATCTCTGAGCTTGGAGCTCTGAAACAAGGGGTGGAGGGGTGGTGTGGAGGGTGGTGACATGTTTTTACATTTCTGTAGATTTACAAACTCGTGTGCTGTACGATGCTATACAGGCGATGCGGGCAGTGGGGACAGGGGAGTGCCAACCTTGAGCGTCAATCAACCTCGGGTTGCACGTCCCGTAACGTTTGAACTGCATGCCCTGAAAAGTCCAGAACCTCAAAAGGATTCAACAGGCGTCCTTGTGCAGTTCGATTATTGTATTAATCTTTTTAAGGCAGGGAGGGCACCTCTCTAGCTAGGCAAATCGATTCACCACTATGCCACTTGCTGGACAATGTCCCACATAGCACTCCTCCAAGTGCACCCTTAGCTTTGAAGTGAATGTTGTAATGTTGATGAATCTCCCTTCGTTTGAGGATGTCTAGGCTTTTTTCTATGTGTTTCTTAAGTTCCGAGAACAGGTTTTTCTGACTATGAATGACCACTGTAAAGGTTTCTTTTTTGGTCTCTCGCCATTTGCCTATCCGATCCGATCAGGATCGGACCTGCCCAGGTCCTTAGGGCTTCTGCTCTTCGAAAACCGCTTGCTGATCCGCAAAGACTTGGGTCCCATCTTGGCCACGGCTGCTTTCAGCTCGACCCTGACCATAGGCACACCGCGCGGTGGGCGCGCTCGGGAATGGGCCGTGCTCCCTGTGCGGGTGTGGCTGATACCATCACAACGCGGGAGCTGAGGTTTTTGGATCCCCAGGGCCCCAAGGTGCTCGAACATCAGTCGCATCAGAACGACCGGTCGCATGGCTTGTTGGTCTGTCAAGGCTCTGCGCCGCTGCTGTCAAGGCTCTTCCACCTGCCGCGGTCCTTCGCGCTTTCCACCACTGCCCGCTGTGCGCTCTCGCCGTCACCTGGTGAGGGCCAGGTGTTCGAGAAGATCCTGCAACAGATGGTAGTACAGATGGTATTGAATGCCCCTTTTCGATCTAATTAACAACCGGCAACAGTGGGTTCACAAGTCAACAACATGCTGGTGGTGCAGGAATTTGTCCATCGAGTTCATGGGCGCTTACCTTCTCGATGAGCTTCAAATCATGCGCATGTGTGTGTGTGTGTGTGTGTGAGATTTGAGATTGAGGGCATGTGTGTGGAGAGGATGGACCAGAGAGAAGCGTCTAGATCAGATTCGCAAGGTTATATAGCAACCCAGAATCCCAAGCTATAGCTCGAAAATGAAATTGCATGAATGCATGCAGTTCTCATGTGATCATCTCGGCGGATCCGGACCATGCTGGATCATGGTAAATCGCCTGTTGCATCCTATTGCAAATAGTCTTCGCCGAGGATTGCCATGGGTATGGCTAGCATCTTGGGTTCTCCACCACCCATCGCCGTGGCCATGACCACCTTCTCAGGCGGACAAGACGAGTTCGTAATTATTTGAATTACAAGTAGCAAAACGTTTGAAATGATTGTATATATATAATATAGGGGATGGCTTAAACAATTATTCCAGGGGTCATCTGACCTACTGAAATATTTTTTGGAACAATATTTATTGAATAATATTTTAGCTAGGTAGTGGTTCAAGGTACTACCTATAAATTTGGAATAATTTTTGGAATAATATGCCAAGATGTACACACATGTACATACATGAGAGAGATACCAGAAGAACCCAGAGGTACGTACATACATGTACAATCTGGAATTGTCCACAGTCCTGGCTCTGCAACCTTCTCACAGTCCTTTGCTTTGTAGCTGCTTAGGGCAGCCTGTATGCAGCCCAGGGTGCTTAGGGGCTCAATTTGCCCATGGGTCCTTCAGATGTGGAGGCCCCCCTGGAATAAATATGTGCCACTGGCTGGCTCCTGCACCACTCGCCATTGCCATTGCAATTGTCCACAGTCCTGGCTCTGTTACATTCTCACCGATCCCCCTAAGCTCTCACTACGAGGGGAACCTATACTTGGACATTCAACGCAAAATTAATTCAAACACGTGGCTTTGCACCCAGATGTTTAAGAAATAACAAAATATTCCTGAATGTGAATGACATACCAGAATAATTTCCAGCATCGATGTGACTAGGGGTCAGAATAACTTATAAATTATTCCAGGGGGGCCTTGAGAGGGGGTCCCCTTAAGCCACGGCCCATTATATATATAATATATATATATATATTATATGTAAGATAGATTCGCACAGAACAGGGCTACCTAACCTTCTAGTGTTATATCATTTATCATTGTTGGGACAATCTCTGGCCTGATTCCTTTGTGCAGTTGGAATCTTTTGCCGTTAGATTCCATCGCACTTTCAGGGGGTTTGAAGATTCTGGATTCGTGCTACTTTCAATTTGACACACAAAGGAATTTTGCCAAAAACATGCAGGCTTGCACGGCTAAGTCTTGGTCTTTCAAATGTGACATGCTGCAAATACGGCACGTTCGTCAGGCCCAAGCAGAACAGTTCGCTCAATGAATTTAACAGTTCTGAGGTACCGAGCCAATGTCATTGCTGAAAAACCGATGGTTATGAGGGTTTTTCAGGTAAGCGTGATGCACTGACGGTGGTAGGCTAATAGGCCTGAAATGGACTCGCTTGCAAACGATTGTGAATTGGAAAGACTCAGAATATATCTTGGATGTAATGTAATGTTGAATTGACAACTCAATTTCGCAATAGTAAATCACAACGGATGGTCACTTGGGTTTCGGCCGCGCGGGCCAGTCAGACATTGGGTTGACATGTGAACCCTTTTGGGGGGTGATGTCACCAGGAGTCCTGGGCGTGATGCTTGGCCCCACGCTCTTCAAAGTCCTGAAGTTGCGGAAAGCACCTTAGACTGCGGTTCCCGCGGTTCCGTCCGGAAATACTCCGCTGGGACGGTGGAGCTGAAATAAGACGGTCTCTTTTTTAGGGCGGCCTTCTATGGCCATCATGGGCATTGCTGTACCCGGACCCTTGTTTCCTCCACAGTAGTGCTCAGCTGTATTGTTTGGAAACATGGTGCCGGCAGCCTGGCAGACGGTTTTGGAGCTCTCCAGAATGCCATTCACAGCAGCAGTGGCTCCGTGACACTGGCAAGAAATGTCCAGGTTTCTTTTGTCCGACGCAAGTGCAACCTTTCATTGGATCCTGTTACTCTGCAGGCATGACTGAAAGTCATAGAGACAGTTCATGTGCTTTCTGCTTTGAATGTGAGAGTTTCTTGCTGGTTTTCTGTGCCGGCCCAAAGAGTGTTCAGAGCCAACGGAATCGACTTGACAAATTACTGGGGTGGCCACTCAACAAGGATGTTGCCCTGGATGATCCACAGGTAACTATCACAGGCATACCCCCCGAAAAAGTTTAAAGCCACAGCTGTGTAGAAAAACAGAATCGGAGGCGACCTGTCCGGTCGATTCGGAGGCCAAAGTGAACAATCGCTTTTTGTCATGAAGGTTCCAACACACAAGAGGGGCCTCCCATGTGAAGACACACCCCATGCCAGCCCCGTCTGCCGAGGCTCGCGCTCGTGGCTTGGCTTTGGGCTGCTCCTCCCATGGTGTGGGCGTCGTGCCCATCGCCACCAGCGATAGGCGCGGTTCACCGGTTTTGTTTGGTTCAAATGAACTGGCATGAATTGGCCAGTATTTTTGATGAGGAAATACAGAGAAGCACCCCAATCAGTTTGCTTCTTCCGGATTCATTTTGTAAATTTCAGCTCGGGCAGATGTTTTTGTTTGGAGGTGTAGCCAGTTCAGCTACATTGTATTATTGTATTTGTCAACTGTCAAAAACAACCCGTACTTGTGGGGTTTACTGTCACAACAATCAGCAGATTTTGTCACAGAATGGGTTGCTTCTGTTCGAATCCGAGTGGAGCAGCTTGGAGGCAAGCCTTTGCCTATGGATGCGTGGGGCTGATCTTGATTGCGACAATGAACATGTGACCTTGCCGGATGATTGGAAGAACGCCTTCCGGGTCGCAGATGAAGGACGCCAGATGAAACATGGCATCTGTGTATCATCTTAAAGATCTGATGTTTCTCTTTCTGTTACGTTCGGTGTTCGGCCGCTTGGGGTGAGTCCAAGGGCTTGGGCTGTGGTAGTGATGCTCTTTTTGGAGAGATATATAATGAGATATATAGAAGAAAAGTGGTTTTCGCACCGCTAGGCGAGTGACTCTTGATGGTTCTTTGGAGAATACTTTGGCATGTCCCGTGTTCCAAATTGCTCACACACGGGGTTGTGTGACAACACAATTGTTGAATCAAAGAACACACAAATTGTAAAAGAAGATCCACCCAGCGGACCAACTCGACTTCGATCAAACCAGACCATACTACGAATGTAGCAGCTTCCTGCTCCAGACCGATCCACCACTAAGGTTGGTAATGCAAACACCATTTTTCCGGAAGCTTGTTCTCGCCGCCATTCCGCCGTGAGACAAAAGGTCACACTGCCAGCAGTTTCTGTGTCAAGATAAAGTAGTAATCCTTATTCTTTTTGACACCGGTGTAGCAGGAGGGCACTGGTTCTTGTCCACACCCAGGGATAGCTTGGATGGTTGAAGAAAGTTGAAGATGTTGCGGGGAGATCTCATCATTGAGAGCAACAAACCGTTACAGCCATGTCGGAGTCCTTCAATTTGTTTTGCCCTCATATATTGACATACTTAACTGATATGTTTGCTCAAATCACTGGCGGTTTATCAATCAGAGCAGCCTGTCTGTTGAACTGTATATCATCAAATTGTATGCGGAAGTATCTCAGAATGCTGCTGCAGTAATTGTGCCGCTGCCGCCTTGGCTACTTAGGGGAACACAGCCTCAGTGCTTGGGGTGTTACTTTGTTAGGGGGGCATGTGCATCGTACAACCTGGGATCTTCTAGAATCTAGAAGAATACAACTCTTTAAACACAAGATGTGTTCTAGTCAACTTTGTTTGCTAAACTTTCCCTGCATTTGCAATCTTTGCCCTACATGAAAGGGAGCAACAAAGGTTGTCTCAAAGAAAGCCTGTGTTTTTTGCTGGTCGTTTTCACGGAGCAGAACCTTGCCCATCATGGGCCGGGGTCTCAGTGGCCATGCTGTGTCGGGGTCTCATCGTGCCATGCTTTGTACTGAGAACCTTCTTAACACCAACAGACCAAACAAGCCATAACACACGATCCAAAAAGAATTGGCTGATCACTATCCAAAGGGAGACAAGTTGCATCATCGCTGGTTGCACATGTCGAGGATTGGAACTTCAGTTCTTTTTTGCTTCTGCCACACTTGCAGACTGTATAATATATGATGTTTTGTAGTATATAGGGGCCCGAGCTTTGGTACCACTGAATTCATGGGCAGCAAGAGTAGGAACCGTGGCAACAGCGGTTCTCAGTTCTTCTATGTTCTTTTCTGCTTTTCACTTCTCAGGAATATATCTTCCTCATCCAAACATCGAATCCCCTGTGGTGATTACATCGGTGTCATATCATTAGTTGTCATTTGAGGCAAAGGTGCCTTCATCAATGGCCGCTGGGTGGCCAACGGTCGCAAGGGTGCTGGAAAGGGCGGCGGCGGCCGCGGACGTGATGAGACAGGCGCAGAGCGGATGGCCGTTGTGGGTCGGCTCCACAGGGAGGTGCTTGGCCTTTCGAACGGCTTTTGCAAGGTTGCCATCCGGACTTCAAATTCAAAGGGCTTGTTCATGTGAAGCTATACCATGAAGTATGATGTACTGAGATCCGAAGGGAACTGATGATGGATCAAAATCTATTGGGCCTTTTTGGTGGAATAGCAGGTCTATTTGGACCGATTGATTGACCTCTTGCTGTGGTGAACACATCTCCCAATTCTTCACATTCGTCGTGATTCTCCGCGATTTTTCTCAGGACGCACGGTTGGATGGGCCGGTGATGAGGAGAGGCAGCTGACACCTCAGCTGTTGGCGATAGTCGTTTGGAGTTCGCGGGTTGATGTCTTCTTGGGACATGGAAAAGGAGATATAATAAAAGAGAAGGAAAGAGAGAGAGAGAGAGAGAGAGAGAGAGGGAGAGAGAGAGAGAAAGAAAGATAGAGAGCTGCCCGTCAATTGAAGCTGGTGCAATCTCATCGGCCAATCTAGTTCAACTATGGGGCGCCCCAGAAAGTGACAGTGGAGCTGGAGCTGATTGAAAGAAGAAGCTCATGACGATGTCGAGATGAACATCAATTCAAGTCTAGACAGAACTACGCCCCACTGTAGCTTTGCTTTCACAAGCTTAGCATCAAATTGATAGAGGCCTCGAAGTGGATTTTGGACCCAGACTCCGTCCGTTCGACAGGTTCCACATCAGTCGGAACAGGCCTCGTGGACACCCCAAAACGAGACAGCTGTTATTTGCTACTTAACTACTACAGTATGAAGAAGGATAGATATAGTAACAGCTGTAATTGGTTTTCACCCGTCAAACAGATAGCTCAATTGACTTGGCCCGCTCACGTGAGGTTTCAGCGGAAGCCTGGAGATGAGGATACCGAGTTGGAACGGAAGTGAGCCCGGCTCGGATCACTTTGAGCGATTCGGTTTCCGGATGGAACGCCCAGGAAGATCCCAAACCAGACTGCTCAGCAGACTTCGTGCCAGGTTTGGGGGGATACTGTAACTGTGGGATTTAGGGGTATCTCTCAACCCAAAGACAATCTTTCGTGTATCGCCAGGTCTGCATTCATCTCTGACTTTTTGCCAGGTTTGACGTCGAGGTTCTTCAGCCTGGGGAAACACGACGAGGGTCAAGGACTCACTTTGTGTCAAAGCAGAGATGAGAGCCGCAGCCGACTTTGTGTCAAAGCTGTTCAAAGAATACTGTAGCTTTTTGTTCCCTAGCGATGCACTTTGCTCCTAGGGCCCCGATCCTCCCATCCCAAGGTATCTCTTCAACATGAAGACGACCCGCCACTACGATGAGGGTGGTCGATCGCTTGCAGGTGAACAGAAGTGTGGGGAGAGACTCGGCGGTGAGTGTTTGGTTCATTTGACAAATCAAATCTAGAAGACTGGTACTTCTGTAGACTTTCTTGAAAACCAGCGAAGCCATACCGCAGAATTCTATTGGGCTTCTATGTAAGTGTTCGAGGAAGCTTAGGAATTCAAGATACTCCAGCAATCTGACTAAGTGCTGGAAAGCTTCAGAGAAAAGTTGACGGAGTTCGTTGTGACTCGAAACTCCCTGGCTGCCAGGCTTGTTGCTGTACTTCGTTCAGCGCGATGGGCGAACCTTTCGGGGCACCTTCCTTTACAGGCGACCTGGGCACTGACACCGGAGCAACTCCTGAGCATCACCGATTTCGGGACGGCCAAGGTGTTGTAAGATTCCAGGTTAGAAGCGTTGAGTATTTTGAGTCTAGAGTTTAAAGGGGAAGGAAAGTACCACGAGTACAAAATGAATAGTCCAAGGATGTCCAAGGACTATACCCTATTTGCTTAGTTTAAGTCTAGTGTGTAGCATAACAGGTATCGGTATCGTACTCACAGTCAGCATTTCACGGTTGTACAGGAGCAATGTTCAGTTGACCGGAGGCATTGTCGCGCGCTTTTTCCATGTCCCACCCAGTCACCTTATTGTGCACTCTGGCGCAGTTGGCTCAGAAAGAGTCCAGTGGACCTTAGGGCCACACTCTGTAGACTGATGAGTGTACATATGTGTACATATGTGTACATGATTTGTGTGATCTACACGTGCTTTTGGTGTATACTGGCTATACCTAGGCTGCTCGATCAATCTCACGCGAGGCACTACAATGTGTAGTGCAGCAAGAGCAACATTGTTTGTATGTAAACATAAAGTCTGACAGACTTTACACTGCAAGCAGGGTCGCACAACATGTATGAGAGAGCCCCTCGGTGCTTTCTAGTTGTGTTGTTTGTGCCAAGTGGCTTTTCCCTAAACCGCGCTGACCATGGCCGGCATGATGGGTCGCGGTTCCATGGTCCAGGCGAATCCTAGAACCATGGCCACAGAATGAAACGCTTCGATCCCTTATTGATGGCTTGTAGCAGTGGAACATGTGCTACATTTGTTTCGGCATGTTTCAGCCGGCGCTTGGTGATGATTCACAGTTGCCGTCTTATAGAAAGATCAGAAAGACTAACAAGACCATTGCGAGCTTATCGCGGCCCGCTATTTCTCGATCAGCCAGCCAGCCGGCCGGCCGGCCGGCCGGCCGGCCAAGAACCACGGTCCAGCTAGCCGGCCGGCCAAGATCCACGGTCCAGCCGGCTGGCCGGTCAAGATCAACGAACCAACGACTGTCGACTACTACTACTACTACGACGACGACGACTACTACTACTACCACCTACTACTACTACTACTACCACTACTACTACTACTACCACTACTACTACTACTACTACTACTACCACCACCACTACCTACTACTACCTACTACTACCTACTACTACCTACTACTACCTACTACTACTACCTACTACTACCTACTACTACTACTACTACTACCACCTACTACTACTACTACTACTACTACTAGTACATGGCCGGCCGGCCGGCCGCTATGGCCAGCCGGCCGGCCGGCCGCTCCAGGTGCCAGGCCGCGGAGGAAATCGCTACTACTACTACTACTACTACTAGTAGTGCTACTACTACTACTACTACTACTACTACGACTACGACTACGACTACTACTACTACTACTACTACTACACTACTACTAGTACGACGACTGCTACTACTACTACTACTACCACGACTACGACTACTACTACTACTACTACTACTCCTACTGCTACTACTACTACTACTACCACTACTACTACTACTACCACT